AGATGTTTTAAGACACAGAACTGCTTTCTTAGGGTTGTAAATCTGTAATTTTCCATAGTGTCTGCCTTTGAGACAAGCCTCTTTGGATCTCCAAAATACTACATTGAATAAAAACACCCAGCAATAGAGAAGCTGGCTTACTCCCTATCCAACCAACCATGTTGCCATCAAACAGTGCCTCAGAAGAAAGTACAGTAAGACAGACACGATACCTTACTTCAGGAAAGCTCTTTATCCTATTCTCAAATTTTGAAGCTTGTTTTCCTTTTTCTTTCTCTCAAGAACTCATCTTTTTTATCAGACTTTACAACCTGGGTCTCTTAAAGCAATCTGATCTCCGTTTCTTACCAAATCCACGCTTTGGTGTCACCTAGCTGCTTTGTGAGCTGGTAATTCTGAAGGTACCCATCCCCAGTGGCATGTTGTATTGGGAAGAAAAAGGAGTAGATGAAGTGAGCAGACAAGGAGAGTTTATATATATATATATATGTGTGGCTTTTTATCACAAACTTCTTCTGCATTAATGCTAACTGGGAACAAATGCACTATTGGTTCTCACCCCTTCTCCTTGATTTTCTCCATTCTGCTCTGATCAATACCGCTGCTGAATTTCAGAAGGGAAATTCAGATTATGGATATTTGTGGGTTTTATTATTTTAAAATATCACATAAACATACTCAGCAAATATTTATGGACAACACTTTCCAGTAGAGAAATTCATGAAGAATGAAACGTTGAAACTTTCATTGCTCTGGGAATAACTCCACAGGACCACAACTGATGCTACATAAGCAGAAGCCACAGTTCAAGACAAGCAGATCTCTTCTGAGGCAAAGAGTACGTTCAGACTGCTGCAATAGGAAGATTTCCATGAATAACTTGTTAACATTTATGCTAACACAAGGCCTATTTTGTAAACAACACATTTATGCCTTTAGGAACACATAAACTTAACATAAGGAAATGCATCCACTCTATAAGTACTACATCTGTGCTACTGTTTATTTATAAACAAATAATGCTTAATAAAACAATGCTTTATAATGCGGTCTTCTGGCGGAGCTCTGCACTGACAGACAAGATTCGTGAATTCAATTCCAAGCTTTCAGGCTGCAGACTCGAAGTGCCTCAGTGCAGTTCAATCATTCCAACAAGAGCTCATTGAATTATGGCAGGAAGAAGAGCAGCATTCCAAAAATTTCAGTAGGAACTACGGAGAACACTACTGGCAGTATTTGGATGTGTTTTGAGATAGGCTTGTTTCTACCCTCCTCCTCTTTGGGGTTTACTTTCTCTTTTGGATAAATTGTTTTTAATTTCATTGTATTTTGTTTTTACTACTATGAGATACACCTCGCTATCAGTTTATGGAGTTGAAAGCAAGCAATGCATTTAACAGGGTCTGTGGTCAACACATTGCACTAAAATGCATCATTTTATCCTTCTCAAGTTTTATGTACCATTGCCTTCAGACTGTATGAGCACCAAAACTGGTCACAATTACACCGTTAATACTCTGTAGTTTCATATGATACAGATGAAACCAAAGATACAGATGGTCTAGGAAGCTCCAGCTTTAACACTGCAACAAGTTTCTTCCAACTCATCTGTAATATACGCTGAAAAAGCAAATTATTTGATAATATCCTGGTCAATAATCACATATCACTTGTGTTAAAATGTCCGTATCACATATCTGGTTGACAGATGATGAAAATGACAAATCAATGCTTGCTACTTTTGCTGCATTCACATTTGAACACCACAAAATTGTTACAAGAAGTGAAGGTAACTTAAGCAGAAATCAGAGACAGAACTAATACTTCCTGCTATCAGAGTCCAAGAAGCACCTTCATGCAAAAAAATCTTGCTATCAGTTTCAACCCCACATCCTTGGCTCCAACTCAGGTCCTCATTGGGCTCAGTTCTGTCCTAAAATCCATGTATTAGCAACACCCAATCTACTACAGGATGAAGCTTTGAAACAAGGTTATATCCATCTTATCTTCAAGTAATAATGTAATTTATCATCGTAATTAGCAGGCCAAGAAAAGCCAACATCAAAAATACAAAGTAGAGAAGAAAAGAGAAAGTTTAAATAAGGTGATTGAGAAGTTAACACAAACGTACAAAAGAATTGGAGATACATGTGAACTGATTAATGTAAGACTTCTCAGTTGTAAAAGTTTCTGAAGGAATTACTGTTAATTTAAAACAGATTTTATCATCTGAATTAAACGGGAGAACTTAGCCATACTCACAAAAATACAGTATACAGCTGCATCTGCCCTTCAGTACTTCGTTTTAAGCCTCAGTCAATACCAACTTTGCAATCATAATTAAAGTCTCATAATTTCACAAAGTAGAAAATGAGAAGGCTTTCTTCCAAATTATCGTGTGTGTTCAAACAACAAATTTTATATGACTTAACGAGAGCACAACAGCATTCATCTTACAGGAGGCTGTCCTGTTTCTGGCTTCCTCATTGACATTTCAAGAAATCCCGAGTCCTTACGCCACACACATTCAAAACAAACTAACCAAAAAAAAACAACCTCCCAAAAAATCAACCCTCCCCCCCAGAAACATTTCTTTTGCTTCGCATGAATGAGAACTAAGAGCATCATTTAAACAACAACAACAAAAACCAACACAAACCCTGAGCCTTGGATGTTGCTAACATCATTACAGTTATACTCTACAGCACTAGCAAGAAGAGGAAAATGACTACGAATTAACAACAACAATTCCTATATTTAATGTTATTTAAAAATCAAAGTGTTACCTAAGGCAATTACCTTGCAGCCTTTTAATATCTACAGGGAAAAGCCTAAGGGAAAATAATTGACTTTGCTAATTTTACCCTTGGCAATTATAAAATAGCTCTGCATTTCATTACGACTACAGAATTTCACATCTAATTGTCAGCCCCGAGAGAAGCACAGAGATAAATGCATCACACACAAGCTTAGACAAGAGTTTAGCAGCACAATAAAATTATCTTGCTAGCAATGGTTTCAGTTAATGTTAAGAAAAAAAAAAAACAACTTAAATTCTAGTCTATACAAGGCATGCCTATCTAGAGGTTATCGTCTGCTGTGGTCAGTACCATGCACAGTGCAATGCTGCTCATTTCATTAGCCGATTTGTTGAGCTACCAAATAAGTGCCAGCAAAAAAGCAGTACTGTGATTTTTACTTTTTTTACATCAAAGAAAACAAAACATTATGAAGGAAAAAAGTCACAGTTATTTCACACTGCTGAAAAACAGATGCCAGATTTGAAAATTCATCATTTACAAAAGAATAAATACAGTATGTTTAAATCATTGCACCTGTCAAGAGATTTCTATAGCTTGTACTTCAATTTTTCTAACTTTGCTAGTAGGGTTAGACATCTGAAAAAGAATAATTCACTAAGTCAATCAGTTCCCATAATGGCATCCCACTTATCGTATGTAGAAGCTATGAAAGTATTTAGATGTCAGAAAAATGAAAAAAAAGTGCTAAAATGTTTTGGCAGAATTTCCCAACATGCAGTATAACGATTGCTTAAAAAAAAATAAAAATGTTTCTTTGCACTTGTGTTTCATTTCACTGTGGGCTTGTTTCCTGGCAAAGGGATTATACTTGCTGCTGCAATACTTAATGATGCACTAAATGCAAAGTAATAAGTGCTACATTTTATACAAACTTTTCTCTTCAGTGAAGACAAGACAAAACAAAACATATGCAGCGTTAAATCCGTTGCCTTGTCTTGAGAGTCTTTATTATGTACCAAAAATAAAAAGGATACAAATCAATAATTATTAAAATCAATTACAACCCATTTTGACTATGGCACAACTCAAATTTTGTACTCCTTAAAACTTTTTTTTTTCTTTTTTAATACCGACTACCAGCTCTCCTGTCTTAACCAAATATTCCAGCAGATTGACACCTAATTTTCCACTTCTTCTGAATCTTAGCTCTGTGCTACAAAATGACACCACTTTTGAGAGCAACTGTCACACTGATGACAGAAAGCAGCATGGAAATACTCAGCTACCATCATGAGGGGCTTTAGCAGAAGAATCTAAAAATTCATTAAGCTCAGGATTAAAAAAATATGATGGTTATTGACAATCATGCACATGATATATGTTTATTTTATGTTAAGATATGGCCATCAATCTCCAAATGTGTGAAGGCACCCCTGCAAAGAACTGTTCTTGGTGCACAAAGCTCTCCAGCCCTACACAGGTATGCTGGTGCTACACTAGCCTGCACAGGGATGCCCAGGAATCTTTCCTCACTATGGCAGGTTTTAAGAACAAACCAGACAAACACACATCAAGAATTTGATGTCTCACTTTCAAAGATCATACACAAACATGTTTTGTTCATCATGGAAAATGTTGCCTGTTAAGTTTTGCAGAGCAGCTGGGTTGCAGTTGCCCTTTGGAAGCTGGTACATCCATGTTAATCGGGCAATCCCACACTCACAGATGCCCAAATGCCTAGCAAAATTATTTTATTACAGGTAAAAAGTCACCAGAGTGATGTACAGACAAAGAAAAGAAACCTTTTCCCTCAGAAATTCTCTATGATATAGCCAAGCCTTTCACAAAACACAAGGTAGAACAAAATAAACCAAATGTGTTTTCAGCTGGCAGTCTGCCAGAGGGGTTGTACTCCAACCTGTCGTAAGGATGCCACAGCACGTAGCTTAAATTCACCCAGCTAAGCGCTCAGCCAGCACTATCTATGGCTACACTGCTTCAGGACATGCACCGAAGTCCCCAGCACAGTAATCCTCCAGGACAGCGGTCAACGTTCACAACAGCAGCATCCCATCAATCCATCTACAGCTGTAACACAGGCACGCTGATTTTTGAAGGATGCTCCATATACACGCACACACCATAACTAAGCTGATGCTTAAAGGACCTCTGTTTTGGAAGATTTACTAATAGTTACTTGCTTTGGCAGTAAAAGATGTTATTTTATTTTTTTTTTACCTTGGTATTCTGCAACTGAGCAAGGCTTGTGCAAGCATTTGCTAGAAGAAAATCTCCACTCAAAACAGCCATTTTATTCCCAAACTGCATATCCTTCAGTGGGCCATCGCAGGACTTGAGCTCGCCGATATTTACTATGCCACGATGCACCAGAAAGGCAGTGTGGATCAGCTCCGTAATCTCTGCCAGACTTCTTTGACTGAAAGCAAAGAAAAAGTACAATGATTTTTGAAGTTACAAATAGAATATAGCCTCTTAGGTTAAAAATAATAATAATAATAACAATAATAAACAAAAGGCACAGGTCATGCTATATGCTAAGCAGGTAATTTATGAATTATTGTGTAGTTCTTCTATTTACTTCCAGAAGCCAAAATTTGGATGCGTTAAGCACTGGGAAGAAGCTCATCATGCCACTAAGCATTTCCAGGTAAGCTGCTGGCACCCCTGGTTCCCTTTGGAAGAAAGCTGCCTTTTGTTTGAATTCTTTGGCAAAATAAAGCTAAGCAATCAATACGGTCCTCACAGTGTTTTCCTTTTTGTTTTGTCTTTTAGAAGCTTGAGGGACACTGACACGAAGAAAATGCCAGGCAGAAAGCACCGATGGGAACGAACAAAGGATGTATCAGCAGGGGATTCACGAGCAAGCTGATGCGAACACCGTAAGAATGCTGCAGTAAATGACTGCTCAAATTAGAGCTAAACTAATAACAGGATACCTTGCAGTTCAATAATATCAAGGGGGGAGGGTGCAGGGACAGAGGAGAAACAGCTGAGCATTTTAAAACAGTGTGGTAGTGGCATTTCACTAGTTGTTTCAGCCAGAAGACACAATGGTGATCGCCCAGCACAAGGGTAGATTTGATTTGATGTGGGTAGCTTTGCAAATCATTTGGAAAAGGGTGAGTTCAGCCCTGTACCCCAGACAGGGACCGTCGTGGGCGGCCCAGCCATCGCTGCTCTGCTCCCACAGGCCGGAGGGTGAGGGCCTGACGGAGCACCCGAGCGGACAGCGAGGGAGCAGAGCACCGCAGCACCCTGCTCGATGCCCACAGGCCCTGCTCTCACGAAGCCTTCAGCACACTCACATTTCCCCTGATCCCAGCAGATCCCTTCATGTCCCGGAGGCCTCACGTACAAACAAGGCCTCAAAGTTTGAGTTAAGTGGCAACCCAGTAGCGCACAGGCACGCTGTGCTCGCTGTGCTTATTCCAAAATGGCCCAGTACCGATGTACCGAGTAATGACTGAAAACCCAACGTTGCTTTAGAAGCTGCCCTTACAGCTCACCAGTTTTGGTTCCCCGTAGCCATCCCCGGCACGGCTCTACCAAAGGGTTAACAAAACCTCGAGCTGGGGAGGAGAAGACTAACAAGACATCCCCATGCTCCTGCTGTCGCCGTCAGGGCAGCCCTGGGAGGAAATGTCCCTATCAATTGGGTTTATCAGATGGACGGCTGATCAACATGAAACAGGCTTGCTCCGGGCGGGCTGAGCACAGCTACCTGCTCTGAATAGCAATGAGCGCCCCGCTGCCGCGGCTCCCAGGACATCTGGGGATCCCTGGTGACGAGCACGTAAAGCTGCAGCCAGCTCCGGCGACGGCTCATTTCCCCCAGCCGAAAGCAGACATTAATATCCATCCCCAGGAGATCGGGCCCGCCTCTGTGACCCCCGAGGACGGGAGCAGAACAGCCACTGTCCCCTTTCTTCATGTAATAAGCTTTTAATGAAGGAAATCTAAATCCTCTCTTTGACTTCAGCACCGCTCCTCGTGTAAAGGTTACACAAATGCAGCAGTGCCAATGCGTTGCGAATGCTCGGGATCTGGATGTTTTCATTTCATTTTTTATAATCCGTTTGTTCTCCAAACGATACTCACATTATTTCTGCTAACGAGAGCAAATAATCTGTGTCTAATTCCGATCCTACACACTGCTCTTCCGTCCTCTCTCTAGAGCTAACTGGAAACAGAGGACCCAAAGCCACCGCAGAGATCCCAGGCAGGGTATTTCCTCAGTCTCCTCTTTCTCCCCTTCCAAAAATCAACCCATGTGCAGCAATGTCATCCCAAAGAGGTTGGAATAGAGGCCTGGACAGACACTCAGATTTGTTCTTGGCTCTTTTTTCACTCTTTATTTCACGAAAATTTCTAATCACAGACTTTTTTCGCCTATGGTGTGTAGAAGGGATCAGCACCAACATTGCCTCGTTTTTCAGCTCGACTCCTTGTTCATGCAAGCTTAGTACACACCTAACTAACAAAAATTTCTGTAAAACACTCGCTAGAAAGTACCCATTAGGTTATAAGCACCTCCAAATTGGAAATGTAAGCCTGGAAAATACAAAGGAAACACTGATGGTAAGAGTAAATTATTTCTTTTTTTATTTATTTTAAACAAACACCCCTTTAGTGAGGTCATTTGGAACTAGGCTGACTCCGGGACTGTGAAACACCAGTTTGCAGGAAAATACGAGGAAAATACAAATTTTAATTCCATAGATTATTGCCTCTCACCAGAAGAAAATGCAGAAACTTCCTAAATATGCTTCTATTTCAAAAACTGCATTTAATGATTTTGGTTTGCATTAAAATTTCCTATCTGTACTCCTGAGAGTCTGCCTCATCGCAGGATTATTGCTGCAGTCGCTATTATTACAAAGATGAGTATCTCTTGCAAACTTTAACACAGAATTTGGAGCCTACACAAAACTAAATGAAGTGGCGAGGGGGACTGGCAAAATATTGAAAGAAAATTTTGTAGAAACAAAATAGATTTTTACAGCAAATTTCTTATGCAACTTGTAAAAATTAATTCTGCAAAGTTCCTTCCTCCCATCCTGAATATAATTTTTGTTGTCTGCGTTATCTTTAAACACTTGCAGCTAGGAAGCATTAGCCAGTACAGTCTCTTTAGGAGTTCTTATGAATGACTTCAGTCCTTAATTTCACAGAATCACAGAATTGTCTAGGTTGGAAGAGATCTCCATGATCACCAAGTCCAACCTCTGACCTAACGCTAACAGTCCCCACTAAACCATATCCCTAAGCTCTACATCTAAACGTCTTTTAAAGACTTCCAGGGATGGTGACTCCACCACCTCCCTGGGCAGCCTGTTCCAGTGTCTAACAACCCTTTCAGTAAAGAAGTTCTTCCTAACATCTAACCTAAAACTCCCCTGGTGCAACTTAAGCCCATTCCCCCTTGTCCTGTCACCAGGCACGTGGGAGAACAGGCCAACCCCCACCTCGCTACAGCCTCCTTTAAGGTACCTAAATTTCATCTCCTACTCTAAAAAGAAAATAGCGTTTTGCAAAACCTGTGATAAAACAGAACCATCAGGCAGCTCAATTGTACTGCTGGGAGCAGAAGAGTATTTCAGCTTAAATACTCTGCAATATTTGTGCTGAAGTTCTCAGCAATGAAAACAACTGCTTTGAACAAAGACAATTCAATGGATAGATTAAAAATTCTTTTAATAACTCTCACAATTGAGGCTTTTCATTAAAGACTAACACTACACACCCAAGATTTGAATATGTTGTCTGCAATGGTCTACCCAACAGCTTCCCTTCAATACACATAAGATACATGTGGATGAACAACCTTTAATTATGATTTTTTAAAATAAATGTAATAAACTGGGATAGATACTAGTACATTTTAATGACAACTATAATGGTCCATATATAAACCTACGAATCTGGAAACTAAAATAGTTCTTTCAGGGAAAATTACATACTAAAAAGCATTAAAGGAAGAATTAAAATTATGATCTTAACACTGACAATGCACCAAATATTCTTTGCACGACCATGACTCACGTATCTATCATCCAGCAGAAAATATCTACCTACTTTTATCCTTTAAGGTCAGATACTAAGACTTCTGTGATTCCTCCTATCTTGGTCACTAAGCTACTAGAGGAGTCAACTTCCACCTGAGGGATAAATGAGGGCGAAAGCCATCAGTTCTATGAAGTTTATTGAGTATGCTGTTCAGTCGCACTCCTGTGATTGATTCGTTTTTCAACTTGCTGCCTATTTTACCTCTTTCATCTCCTTCTTGAATTCAGCACGCCAGTTTCCCTAGGCATTGTTTGTGGGGAGCAGGGGAGGAGAGGGACACCTGAGTCAGGCTCCTGTTCCTTTTTTTTTGGTGCAGGAATTAGGAAAATACGTGGCAGTCTGTTAATTCGCTGATGATTAACTTAGGTCCACTGTAGAACAACCAATTCTTCTTTTGTGAAAAGCATCAGGAAACTTGACCATTTTGCTTCAGTTTCCAACCTACTGCCAGCAACGGGCCCTGGCCACCACTGCTTTCACAGCAACGTAGCTCGGAGCCACCCAGCCTTGGAGCTAGCTGCCTGTGATGAATTACAGGCAGCCTGCATTGGCATTATCACCTGCCAGCAAAATGAAGCCCAAAACTGGTGGATTTGAGAGTCTGAAGGCTCTTTCTGTCTTACTTCTATACTTGGTGTCGGTGTCCAGCAAAGCACATTCAGTTTCAAAAATTAAAATAAAATAATTAAAAGCCAGAGAAGAATAGCACCAGAATCAACATGACAACCTGATGTCTTCTAGGACTTGAGGCTGGGATGCACAAGGGCATCCAGCAAGGACCAGCAAGGAAGAGAACATTGGGAGGAAGCTGGCACAGGAGGAAACACCTAAGCACCATGAGATCTAGAAACTAGAGAAAATCAGTGACAGTGCAACTGGCTGAACAGATCAGGAGCAGGCAGGCGGGGCTGACAAGGTAAGAGTCCCAACACCTGCCATAATAACAATTTTTGTCACGCAAGGACTTTTAGAATGAGAAGGATGCAAAGGACACTCTGCAAGGGACAGGTATTAAAAGAACATGAGCACTGCTCAAACCAGATGTGAGATGTGGTGGCGAATCTAGCTATGTTTTCAAAGCCCCATAGCCAAAGATATGAGAAATCTAAATAACTTCTCATCCTATTCCAGTTATTAGAGATTTGACATGTACTAGAAAACACTAAGAAGGGAGATATCAATTAATTTTCTGAGCAACCCTTTCTGCACAGCTAGTCAAGAAAAAGTAGACTCTAGATTTGGAGAAAAGAGATTTCTTGGATTACTCAAGCAATGACGCTAAGAAGTCGGGTAATAAAAATCAGAACTACTCATTTATAAGCGAATTGTCAAATTTATTACAATTTGGCA